AAAACAATGCTTTTTTGGTTTTCTACATATAGTACTTTGATGAGAATAGCTTTGCTTTGTTAATAAAGGCTAGAGAGTGTCACTTTTGTATCAGTTTCAGCTGAGGTTGAGCTGTGTGATTGTTTACGAAAAAAGGTGTGCCACAGATCAAAAAGGTTGGGGAACACTGCTTTAGATGATGTGGACGGAGTTAGAGCCCGAAAGCAGAAAAGAATACGTACAGTATGTGTGGAAACTAGATTTTTATTACATAGCCTTTTCTGGGGGCGGTTGAAAGTTAGATACCCCAGCTTTAATTCAGTCCCATTACTTACACTAGAGGTGAAAATACAACTAACTCCATCTTTAAAGTATTATGACTTTATGCACTGTGTGGCATCTGTGCTCGTTATATGGAATTGTCAGATTGAAGCAGCACATTAAACAGTCTCGATCTTCTTCGATGACTTAGAGACCGCTCTGACCTGTGACCTCCTCTGCTATATTTTTAAGAGCTGTTATAAAACTCGACAGCGTCCATAAAAGATGCAATCACTCTAATGGCCATAAGCACACATTGAGTTTACGTACAATCGGGTGAGGGCTGTTTTCCACTTGACCCATGCTGCCACCTTCCAAAGTGCTACAGGCGGCTAATATTGACAGAGCAGTCTGGGTTGAGATGGGAGTCCATGCTATTGATGGGAAACTGAAGTGTGGAGTAAATATAAGAGGAGGCTAGTGAATTGTAGACATTGACTCCCTGGCAGGTCAATCACAGTGGATATGTTTTTACTGGTCTTGTTTTAAAGGGGTTGGTTTTCTTGTCTACCTGTGATTGAAAAGTGGAAGATTTTTTTTTTTTACCATAAATAAACAATATTTTTTTATCATACAACATAATACATTTGTGATAAATTGTTCTTATCTTTAGTTCTTTGATGATTTTTTTATGCTAGAGTTAGAGATGTTGTTCTGTAACTTGTGATGCAACACGGAAATTTCCCCGCTGAGGGACCAATAAAGGATCTCTTAATCTTAATCTTAATTAATTTGAATAGCCTGCATCAGTTAAAATCCATCTGTGAATCAGCCCAATCCCAACATCTAAAATGACGTCAAAAATTGTCTCAAAGTGTCTCTGTAACTATCAGTCACTACCCAAAAATGCCAATCGCAGATTGAATTGTAATTTTGCAAAAAAGAGGATTTTACACTAAATATAGTTCATCTTGGATTCCTTCACATTTGAACCAACGACCAATGAAAGAAGTGGACAAACGGAGTGCTGCTGACATGATTCTTGTCCTGCAAAAAGTCAATTAGCACTAACTCAAACAGGTTCCATGGGCAGCAACATGGGGCCAAATTCTCTCATCGCAACTACCTAGCAACCAAAGAGCTAATCGGGAGTGAGCAATCTTTTTGGTAGCCGAAGCTGAATTCAAGGGAAAGCACGCACCTGGTCATTTTACAGGTTATGGCTGGATTCACAAAGACAATATCAGAATAAAAACTCTACTATCACATTGAGTGTTGAGACTTTTGCTTTCTAATGAAAATGAATGGGAGCCAATGCGAAGAGAGGAGCAAAACCACTGAAATGATACACAGGTTTTGTCATATCTGGCAACTTCTAATAAGGCTCAGATTCTTTTATACTTGGAAAAAGGATCTTGACACCACAAACACAAACTTAATTACAGTCACAATCTGTAATTGTGCAAAATTCTAAAGTAATAATATTTTGACAAGTAGCTCATCACACTTGAACCGTATGCCACTGAGACTAAATATAAAAATGATTGGCTGTCGTTAAGCCTGACTACAGATTGAAATGAAGTCTCGTGCCATAACAAGTCGGAGCCAGACCCCTGCTGATGCCGCCTAATTGGGCTTGTTCCATTCAGTTAACTAGGAGCAATATGAGAACTCACAACCCCAAAAAATGCAAATTATTTTCAACAAGCGAACAAGCTCCTGGCTGTTTTCAAGCACGACAACCGGGTAACGTTTCCAAATCGTTTGACAAAGATCAGCGCAGGAACGTCTCAATATGGAAATCAGTGCGTTATTCATTCTGTTTTATCTTCAGTGTGATGCACGGAAACTATTGTTTTGGCTGATTTTGCTGCTGATGCTCGATCACACGCGTCCTGTTATAGTCCGGCTTCATTATTGCAGCCAAAAAGATGCACAGAAACTTCATGTGTGAGTTTTTTACGGTTTTGTGGCAATTCCGCCACAAGGAAGTTCAAAGGGCTTAAGAAAAACAAGAAAGGAAACAATACATTTATAAAATAGCCATTACTTAAAATAAATATTCAGATGCATGGAGATTGAGGTCATTCTTCTTAATCATACAAAAAGTGAGTCCAACTATAAATGTGTCTACTTAGAACTTTATTGTATTTAAATTGAATTGGTTATTTTGCTTCTATTTAGATAAAATTAATAAATTAATTAATAATCTTAAATTTGCAATTTTCATGCATTTTCATTGCATTTATCTATTTTCATTGCATGTTTGTAGAATACATATAATAGTATTTATTTATTAGTTTTGAGGTTTTTTGTCATAGCGTTGTATATTTCTAATCAAACAACCAATCATGTTACAGCTCGCCTCTAGGAAGATTTTCTTGACTGACCTCGCTTTGGCTTTGTTTTCGCCAAATTGATATAAAAAAACATGGATTTAGACAACTAATCCAATATCAAAATAAAAGTTCAACTCAGCCTAACGTCATTGGCTTTGTTTTGAGTTTTTTTGAGCAGCCCCTCCCACCATCACCAATCCTTCCCCATTCACCACAGACACCTTTTTGCACCGTCCCATGATACTATAAAGAGCTAGTTTGACCATAAATCCAACAAATCAGGAAAATACTTTGTTCTTTCCGGCTGCACAGTGCTTTGCTGCCACTGTCCAAAATGCCTTTAGTGCAGTGACCCACTTAGAAGAACTGTGCTGCCTGTCATGTAGCGGAGAAAAAGCATTAAGTATCCATAAGCTGTCCTCCGCAGACCACAGACCACTGCTGCGGAAATACCACCAAAATACTATCACTTTGAGAGAGTCAATGGGGCCGTGTAACTCTATTTCCTCCAAGTCTGAGAAGAGGCCCAAGATAATGGATTTCTATGGAACAGGCCAAAGCGCAAATGTGGTTGAGAGTTATTTTTTTGAGACGGAGAATATGAAAGGAATGTATATTTTAGCTCGCGGTCAAAGTGGACGGGAGTACTGTGGTCAACATGTCCGGATATTTACTTTATATCTTCCAATGGGCCCTTATATTTTATGTTTTGGGGTACTTCATACTTTGTGCAGTTGAAGTAAACTTGGGGAATTGTATTCACCAAACGAGTGCACGGTTGTTATGTCTGTTTGTATTGTGTAGTCTATTGTTCAGTCTTCAGAGCACAGTCAGTTGCAAGGGTGTTCTAATGTCGTTTTCAAAGCAAATGCTAAATTTCACTATAGTCACCTCAGTCAGTTCAAGTACATTTTTCACGTTAAATCTATATCTGTTTATCTCTTATCTCAGAATCAGAATCATTTTCAGAATCATTTTTATTGCCACGTAAGTAACAGGAGGTCACAGACTAGGAAATTGCTTTGGCTCAGTGCAACAGTCAAAAAGAGATAATAAAAATAAGAATAAAAAACACTTCTAAAGAATAAATTTAAATTTAAAATAGAGTTACAGTTACTATTTACAATATACAAGTGCACATGGTGCACACAATGTAAGGTGACAGCAGTACAGTGAAGTAAAGTGACGTATGATGGGCAGTAAAGTGACTTTACAGTAGGTCCCATTCCGTTTTGTCGCCTTTCACGCGTGAATCACACGAGACTCACGTGTGAATCACGCGTCTTTTATTTTCCCCCCTCCCAGTGACGTTGCAATGACCAAAACAACCACCAGGTGGCACTTGTGAGCAGGGTTACATTGGCGAGTTTCTGCCCCGCACACATCGACAATCTGGTTAAAAGGAGCAACTCCTTGTAGCAGGCCAGTCTCTGGAATAACCCGCAGACATTAAAACTACTGCATACACTGATAAAAATAAATTTTAGGTGTACTAAATGTTATCATATAAAACTATATAATTCCTACATTGTTTATATAAGAAACTGTGTTTACTTACTTTTGCTAATTAAAATTGTGCACCAAAACGTGATTTAATCATTTAAAAAAGGGGTATTATATAGACACTGTAACAGTTACTTCAATTATAGAATTAGTCCATGTTCTATCAATGTGAAAACGCGAGTGAAATGTATTCAAAAAATTAAAGCTCCTGTTTGAATTAGCACATGCGCAGTGTGACCAAGACGAACGCGCGATCACACGGCTGTCGCTCTCTCCCAGTCCCAGCCGATCCATGCTCCCAGCAGACTCGAACGAACACGAAGTGGAACGTGAAGTTTAATGTAAGTAACTTTTCAATTGTTTTTCATGTGACAGTATATTCATTATTGTCTTTGGGTTGTGTTGCATTGTACACATGTCGTCATTGCGTCACATCAGCGTCGGCTAACATTATATTTTTAGATGCTAGGTATTTTTTCTCCTGCGTCAAAATGGAACTGAGAGATATTCAACTTTTCGTCACATGAAACAAGGCATAGCCTATGCTATGTTATCTAACGCTGGTTTAAAACTCAATTGAATATTAGTTTAGCGTTAATCGGACTAATTTCCATCCGCGGGAAATAAGGCACATGGTGTTTGCTAGCTTAGTTAAACAAGTTAACCATTTGAAAAGAACTAAATAATTTATTTTCTCATTTTCCTTGGAAGTAACACAAGGCTACGCAATGTAAGCAAATAAGTATAATACAGCTCGGAAACTTGTGTTGAAACAATCGCGTCAAATACTACAGTTCCCATCATGCTTTTGCTTTGTCACGTGTCCTCCTCAAACAACAACAAGCACAGGCATGCCTGTGCTTTATTTAGCAAAGAGTTTGGTCTCGTTTCTCAAACGTAAATCTGGGCTGTGTACAGAGGACTGCGTGCTTCGGTATGTACAAACGACGCTGCGCGTGATTTGATTCATAGCGTAGTTAATGTTGTAGCGTAGCTTCTTCTGAGGCCAGTTTTCATTACTTTCATGACTGTCTTTCTTATATCGCTATGCACTCCACTAAACATGGCTGATACTTAGTTATTATTGCTTAACAAGTAGATACGTCTTTCCGTTTTTTTCGTTTGGAGACTGAAAATATATCCCAAAGCATTTATGTTCCCCCCGTGCAACTAAAATTGTATGAATTATTTGTGAATTTAGACAATTAAATAATAATTATGTGAACATTGTGAAATTAATCACAAGTAATGTAATGTTACAGTATATTTGACAATTTATAAATATTACATTATTTATATATTATACTGTAATGTTAAAGTATATTTTACAATTTTCTTTCAGATTCAGGAGAGAAGTGCTGATATTGACACCAGATCTTATACCCACCACTTCTACTTTGGTAGCTTCAATCAGGTAAAAATGTAACTATACATTGGATTTATAGTTTACTAACTGTATACAACATTGAATCCATATTTTTTTCTTGCAGGGGACCAATAATCAAGACTCAAAGAAGGAGAAAGATTAGAGACAGTAGGCTTTTTAGATGAGATGGCAATGCAAAGTTTGCATTGCCATCTCATCTCAAAAGAGATGGCAATGCAAAGTTGGAGAATCACCACCATTCCTCTTGAGCAGACCTTCATGTTCAATCTGGACAAATACACTCCAAATTTACTTTCTGTGTTTGCGAAGAAGGGTGGTGCTATCGGGGCAAAACTGAAACCTGTTTTGAACAAACAGATACAGGTATGTTTAGTAATAACTTATGCTGAGTACAATACATAATTTGTTCTTTCCCATTGATAAATCCCTGTTTTGGTGCTATTTACAGAACCAAACAATTGAGATGAGACGTGACAATGTGATTCGTGGTTTAATGCTCTACCTCGGTGAAAATGAGGAAGAACTCTTTCTAGATTGCCAGGTACCATTCTTGATATTTTTCTCCCCCATTCTCTCAAAAACTCAGGGTCGTCCTATTCCTCACATATTTAACCTGTTTTGTAAGAGTGAGTGTCAACACTTCAAATACACCAAACGAAATACAGTGGTAATTTAAAGCTCTCACTGTCAGAGTTTGGGAACTCACTGCTCTTTCTTTTATAAACTTGTTTTGATTGTTTTTTTATATTGTGCCACGATGATGAACTCCAATGTAATGTAACACAGCATGTTGACCCATGACAAAAACACACGTCCGTGTTTTGGAATCACCTTATGGCTGTGTCTATGATTATGACCTGTCTTGTGATTATTGATCAATCAAGTATAATGTTTGAAGAGAACAAAGGTAGTCTGAGGCACTCTGTTTTGGTGAAAAAATTAAAAGTCCTTTAATGAATTGGACTGCCTACGCGTTTCGACCAACAGCGGTCTTTGTCAGGGCATAAATTAGATAAATAAAAAGATTTATGGCTATAGAAGTGAGCTATAGCTATAGCTATGTAAGCTATAGAGTGTATTTATCAAAGTAATTCTTCCTCTTTACAATTTACCCAGGCGCACTTAGAGGATGTTGGCCGGCACAAAATGAAGATCCTGGTCGTTTGTTCTTCCTCTGATGAAGAACCTGTGGATGTCTCTATTGTTCTCGACGGCAAGGAGATTGTGACTGGATGTGGAAATACTGCAAAGGCATGTGCACTGCTAATGGGTCTAATATATTCCTTCAATCTTGCTTATCCTACAACACTACGATACACCTTCGAAGTATTTCAGAAGATTTTCTTACATTTAGATGCATTTAAGCCATCCCCGAAAATACAAACACTGAAAGTCAAGCTACAAAAACATAAGAGAAGCAATTTTGAAAAGAGAAAAGGCCACAGATTTTATATAATTTGATGTTGTTACTTTAGCTTAGACTCTAAGAATATGAAAATTAGTCATTAAAACATGGACATGTAACTCCTCATGTAACAGTGTTTTAATTAGGGGGAAAATGTGAAAGAGCTCGGCCAAAAATTACCTCGGTCTGGAGCCATTGAGATTTACTGCGAGAGGCTAATTTTTTAGCTGAACAGAGGCTCAAAGACAGGCAGGTGCATCATCATCATCTAAGCTAATGACATTTAATTATAGAAAATCAATGGCCACTATCTCTATACCATTCCCATTGCATCCTTTTTGTGATAATTAAGTTTTCTGTTGTCATGTGTTCTGCTTTTAAGGTCAGCTTTAGTTCATCTTTTAGTTTTCATTGTTGATGTGTGAACTTAAAAGTTTGTCAATAAAACAGGTTGTTAAATGTTGATATTTGCATATTGTTTTTTCTTATTAATTCAATAATAATGTAATTGTTACACACATATAGTACTTAATAAGTATTATTGCAATGATATGAAATATACTGATAAAATATAAATAACATTTATTCAAGTTATCCATTATTGTAAATGATCTGTACACATAATGGTTACTCAGTATATCTATTTCACACACAAATAACCTAAAAAAAATCACATAAACCTTACTTGATTATTTTATGTGATCAAGTAAAAAAAATCACATTTGTTAAGTAAGGTTTACTTACAAATAACATTCAGATTATACTTGATGAAATAAAAAGAGTTTTACTTGATTTATAGTAGTAATCTTTAATTATATCTTCGTGCAAATACTTACGAGGATTTTTTTAAGTAAATGTTAATCACGATTTTTTTCAGTGTATAACGTAAACTTTTGCATCACGTTGGTGATCTTTCCAAAAAGAGAGAATATCGTTATGGAAAGAGAAACTATTGGTAATATAAACGCTGAACGTTATTTGACTCAAACAGCTCCGCTGGTGTCTCCTCCCACTCAGAAAAAAAGCAGACGCCTTTTCTCTGGCATCTCTAACATTTATAATAAATACATAAATATAATTAAAAGTAGCTTGCTATATAGAAGCTATTTTCAATTAAACAAACTGCAGTTCATGCAATTTTATATTTTCCTGCATTAACATGTTTGCTCATTTCTTATTTTTTGAGTGTTTTATCCATGCCAAATGTGACATGTACATTTCTCCTGTGTGAGATTAATAAAGCTTATCTTATTATTTGAGATAAACTGTCAGTCAGATAAAGATTAACATTTTGTAGATATTTATTGAACAATAGCCCAAAACACCAAAAACAACAAAGAGTAGGCATCTGAAAACATACTTCTTTTCGCTCATCTCGACTAGAGTGACGTACTTTTGGAGGTATGGCCACGGTACAACACTTTGAGAGTCCTTATCATGGTCCTCCTCCACCGCGGCGGCTCCTGGGCTCTCTGCCATGCTTTTGCTTCCCCCAGTAGCGCGCGCGCATGTGTGTGCGTGTGTGTGTGCGCGTACGTTTGTGTGTGTGTGTGTTACCAAGCCCTGCGCATGCGCATCAGCATTCTGTCTTTCTATATGTTTGTTTTATGCTGCGGGAAAATGCTGTAATATATGAACATCAGAGATGTCCGTGAGAAAATAGCTTTGGCGGACGCTACCGCGCTACTTGAGCAATAATATAGCTTAGCTACAGAAAAGTTACTAGGTTTTGTAAATAGTGACGCTACTGTCAAGCTACTGAAAAATGTAGTTAAGCTAGTAGACGACGCTACTATACTACTTTAGCCCATCACTAATGGTGTTTCGCTGCATTCCTATGCAAAGTAGGGACATTAGCATGAAAAAGAGCGTGATTTCCTGCCGTTTAGGTTGACGAAAATCTAACTTTTCATGCAGTGCATAAATACTGTAGTCGCTGCAGGAGCTAATTGTCCATTATTTTAATTGGATTTCTGGTTCCATGCACACTGTAAAAAAGAAAAAGTTAGTTCAAGCAGGCGCGACGAGACGAGCAGCGGCGAACCCGCAGAAAGAGCCCGCAAAGGAGGAAGCGTCTAAGACCCACGACCACCGCACGAGACCCGTAGCCAGGTGGCAGCAACGCGGAGGAGGAGCAGGCCACACCCAGCAAGACATAGGACAGCATGGACCGCAGGAGTAAGCGTGAGTAGACCAAGCGATTCCTCCAAACGATTCATGCACGGCTTCGGAGGCCTCGAGTGGAGTTCCTCCATTTTATATGCGGCTGGCGTAGTCGTTACGGTGAATGGAAGGGGGCTCTGTTGAGCGATCGGCTGGGATGGTGAACCGGCCTGGAGGGGTGTAATTTTGTTTAACGACACAAAAATGAATTTTCGCGGGGCTGCATTATTCATTCACTTCATAACACATTGGTGATAAACGCTAATGTATCCACAGCGGCCCTGGGGCACACTGAACAGAAGCGAGGCAACCAGTATGTGCCATTGGCCCCTCCGACCACCTAACCAACCATTCACACACACACTAGACTCATTCTAGCAATGGAGGTGAAAGTGTCTAGGCCCAAGGACACAACGGCAGTAATGCCACTTTACACCACAGCCGCCCCACTGTGGCATCAGGCCATAGGGTAATGTGTCTTGCCCAAGGACACACAACGACAGCAGACATCAAGTGGGAGTCAGTGGAGACTGGGTTCCGAACCCACGACCCGTTCAGGCTCAAAGGTCAATGCTCGACCAACTGAACCACCGTCGACCCAAATGAGTCCCTTTAAAGAGCGTGGCGCTCCTTCCAAGGCACAGCTCCGTAGACACAAGAGCCCTATCTTAACCATAATAAACCACATCTATACAATGTGGCCTATGTCCCCACAAGCATTTAAAACCGCGGTAAATCAAACCCCTTCTAGAAAACAAAATCCTGGAAAATCATAGAGCAAACAGCTTTGCTTCCACCGTCAGGAAAATAATATGTTTATGAAACCTTCAATTGGGATACAAGAAAAAAAAAAGCTCATCATATGTCACGAAACGGCACTAGTCAAAGTAAAAAATGACAACTACTAGCTGCTAATATGTGACAATGTCAGTGTTGGACCTACTTGACCCCAGTTCTCCATTTAACAGAAGTAAGACCAAAGATTCTAACTGTGCGGAGGCTAGAATGTGCTATATGGTGGGTTCTCAGAGGAACAGCCCTTGGCTGGTTTAAATCCAATCTATCGATCGTATCACATTGTCAATTTGAATCACAAATCATGCGCCTTATTCTGGCAGTGGAATTCGATGTGGCACACCCTTCAAGTCTTATATAAGCCAAGCAACTAAAACAGCTTTTTTCCACTTGCGGAACATCGCAAAAATCAAAATATCCTTCCTAAAAGTGACACGGAACTCCTTCTTTTAGTATACAAAGCCATGAATGGCCTGGCTCTTTCTATCTTCAAGACACGTTATTGCTATATCAACCAAACCGAAGCACTGTGCTCACACAACGCCAGACTCTGTTGTGTACCTAAGGTCTCAAAAAGTACTGTCAGCAGCAGAGCATTTAGCTCCCAAGCCCCTTTACGTGGAATAAGGAAGCAGATACGGTCTCCACATTCAAGCCAGACTTAAAACACTCTTTTGCCTCTTTAGCAATAATTTTGCCTATGGTTAGGTTGTTTGTCTGGTTTGGTTTTACACACTTGGGTGTTAATCCACAAATATTTGGTGCTGTAGCCTGGGCAAGCCATCCGCGGCTGCTGCTGTTTTCTCCTTCGTTCGGACACGGTCCTCCACATTCAAGGTAAGGCTTAAAACAGTCGTCTTTAAGTTTAGCAAATGGATAGGAGGTAAGGCTCAGGGAAGGCTAGACATGCTTTGACTGACAGTCAAGCTGCCGTAGTGGAGTAAGTCTGCTGGAAAATATGTATTTTAGCACTATCCTCTCCTCCTTCCACTGTTAAAACAATCTGCAATATTATGATCTTGCGTTCTGTTGCTTACAGTAGGTCCCAGCTTCGTTTTGTCGCCGTTCACGAGTGAATCACACGAGACTCATGGTGTGATTCACCGCGTCTTTATATATTTTTTCCCCATGATGCTAGCAATGACCCTAACAACCACCAGGTGGCACTTGTGAGCAGGTTAGGAAAAATTGGCTTTCTCATCGGTCTTTGTTCTCCTGTTCACCGACAACTTTCTGGTCTTTATAGCTCAATGATAACGAGAGGACTCTGTGTGAGAGGACTCGGGTTTCAAGTACAGTCTACGACACTTTTGATTTGTGACGTTTAAATTATTTCTAAAACATACTTAGTAATATAGGCCAACACATTTTAAAATATATTGCTAGACTGTAGTAAAACTGTGTAAACTTCACAATCTGCACAACCAAACTGCAGGAAAAAATCCACTTTATTCAGTAACAGAGTAATCTGATTCATAATACTCCCCCCTCCCACGACCACCCCCCCCATCCGCCCCGCCCCCCCCCCACCCCTGGGCCTCCCGGCTCCTCCCCCCCCGCCCCCCCAGCCGCATACACGGGCTAATAAAAATTTTAGATGGCCGGGCTCCGAACCCTGATCTTCCAATGCGAAAGACTATGACAAAAACCCACAACGCCACACAGGCGCAGGAGAAAACACTGATCATTACAAAGAGCGCTGATGAATGAGCCGAGCGTATGTGCAGGACCTTAAAATGCCCTTAATATCAAGTAAATCAAATGTTTTAGCCAATATGATCAGCTACTCCTGTGCATTTTAGAATCCTAATTAAGGTAGCTATATGAAACATGTGTAGTTTAAATTTTTTTGTAATTGCTAATCAATACAATATAAGTAATTCAGAATAATCCGTGTAACTCCCTTCAATCATCAGTTATTCCGTTACAAAATAAAATCAGAAAACAAAATTTTCCATCGTTTAATGTTATTTTCCACTTTTCTAATTCAAATTGGAAATCAAATCCTTAATAATCCGTGTACAATCCGTTAACCTTCAAGTCATTAGTTTATTCCGTTTTTCAAAACAAATCAGAAAAACAAATACGTGGGTTTGTTTTATTGTATTATCATTTTCAAAATTAAATTGGAAAATCAAAACATTCTAAATGGAAAAATTCACCCAATTTCTTTGCTATGCAGTGGAAACAAACCACTACTAAAAACTTCCCTTATTTTGTTTGATAAGCTACCGGAAATGATGATTGGTTAGAGACGGAAACGAACTTCCAAGGCAGCACAATCAACTCAATCAACTACACGACAACAACTCGCGCTGTTGTTGAGCTCGCCCCCAGCCCGAGCTCCAGGCAAAATGCCTTACAGGCACCTGTATTCCCATTGCTGTCTCCATCCAAGTACTATGGGGAAAACTTTGTGGGCGCTGCCCCCCCCCTCCTTAAACAGAGAGATCCGGCTTTCCCATTCATTCTGGATTACAAACGCACACGGTAATTCCCTCCTCTGATAAACACAATAATTTTTGTGGTCGTTTCTTTATGTTTCACTCCATAAATACTCTCATATATGTCCTAAGATCGTTCACACACCGTCTGTAGTTTAAAATCTCGAGTGTGTAGTGCGCTTTATATGAAGTGTTTACCTCCTGTCATAAGTTATGTTGCTGCTGGCTCGAAGATCACTCTGGTTGGTATCTTAATGTACAAGAAAACACTTTCTCTGCGTTGGTACAAACAACAGTGATTCACTGAAATCTACGTATACAGTAATTCAGTTTGTTTACGTCAGGTTGTATTATGTACTTTTGCAGCGCTAGCTAATAATTATTAGCTAATTATTGTTGATGTGTGTAACTACTATATTTATTTCACATTTCATAGTTTCAGCACCACATTGAGTTGAAAATGAATTATAGCGTTAGTTTTACGACAATGTATTAGTGAATTTAAACCAGTACAAATTTTCTAATACTATAACTGACTTACTGTATCCCAGAGCCTCATGCTGCAATGTCCCGATGTACACATACAACTGTATATTTCTTCTCTTAGATTAAACAGTGAATTCATGCTTCATTAAAATGCTTAAATGTAATTATTTTTATTCTGTATTATGCAAAAGATATATACATTAAAACATACTTCTCTATCATGCTATAGCTAGATATTTTATGATCTTTTTTGTTTGTTGCAGACAATATGAATCAATCAATCAATCAAAGTTTATTTTGTAGAGCGCCTCATGCACAGGGCAACACAAAGCGCTTCAACAGTCCACATCACAAATCATTCCACATAAAACAAACACCATAATCACAATTAAAACATCTAAAATCACACAAAAAGATTCAAAACACAATAAAAACAATAAAAATCACACAAAGAGAATAAAACCATTAACACTTACAAAGTTACACAAAAATTTAAAAAAAATAAATAAATAAATGACAGGCATTGCATTATCAAATGGAGATAGGGGGGTTAAATCCTTCCGTTGTAAGCACAGGCAAACAGAACGTCTTTAACCTGGATTTGAACATTGACGAGAGTAGACGCCTCCCTCACATTTTTCAGGGAGATTGTTCCAGATCTATAGCTGCATAGAATCTTGAAACGCCGCCTCCCCATTGTGTGGGTTCTCACTCGGCACCAGCAGGAGGCCATTCCCGTGCTCCACAGAGTCGGGCTGGGTTCATATGACACCAACATGTCAACTACATTGATTCTGGTGCAAGGCCATTGAGAGACTTGTAACACAAGCATAGCTTTTTTTAAAAATCTATTCTTTAGAGCCACAGGAACCAGTGCAGAGAGCCTGAGGAGCGGACTAATATGGTCATACTTCCTGGTTCCTGTCAGGACTCTAGCTGCTGCATTTTTGGATGTACTGCAGCTGCATACAGTTCTTTTTGGTGTACAGACCGTGTAAGCAGGCCATTTGCAGTAGTCATAGCTGCTGGAACAAATGCTGTGACAAGAATCTCCAAGTCTGCCCTGGAACACTATAATTTCTGACTTTGGCAATGTTCTTCAGATGGTAAAAAAGCGTTGATGTTTTATATGATTTATGTGGCTATTGACTTTAGTGTCTGATCCAGTATTACCCCCAAATTTCTGACCTTGTCTGAAGGAAGTAGGGAGAGAGACTGAAGATTGACAGATGACGCCCTCTCTTTGTTTCTGTGGAACCAAAGACAATGATTTCGGTTTTGTTCTGCATTACTGGAGGAAAATTATTTTGGCATCCACTCACTATCTGTTGGATACAGTGGAAGAGCAAATCCATGGTCCATGTCTCCTGCAGTCAGTGAGACATAGATCTGAGTGTCGCGGCGTAATTGTTGGTAGGACACTTGTTTCTTTGTATTAACTGACCTAACGGCAGGCATGTAGAGATTAAAATAGGAGAGGTCCCAACTGTAAAACCTAAACCAGTCAAGGGCGGGCCAGTGACACCAACCCAGTTCCTCCAGTAAAACTAATTTTGAAATTAGCATATCTCGGTTTAATTACTTTTATCAGTTAAAGAAGTATTTGAAAAGAGCATGGTTTATTAGTGCCTTTTATTAGGACTATTTAATGATGACTTGACATGAAAATCTTACATATTGTTACTTTAAATGGTCAAAGATATGTTTTCAAAATCCAAAGAAAACAAATCTTTGAAGATGCAGACATCACCTTTAAGATCCACATTACTTCAAAACAGACTCACATTTTTTGTCTGATATTAGATCTAGTTTTTCTTGTTTAAAAACAAACAAAACCTCTTGGATTAGTCCATTACTTATTTTAAAGAAACATTGAATACCTTTAGGGAGATAAATATGTAAACATTTCTAGTATTTCTTTAGTTATTACTAATTTCACACTTTTTTGTCTGAACGTTCACAAACATTCACTGTTCAGTTGACTTCTTTGAATGGGGTCGTTTATAGTAATGGACAGAATCAGATCAGATCAAGTGGAAACCTTGGCAGACACAGGGAGAACATGCAAACTCAACTAGGAAAGGTTCCATCCACCGGGGAGTCGAACCCAGGATCTTCTTGTTGAGAAGCAATAGCTCTGACGGCTGCAGTCGCTCTGTTTGAGTCACCACTTGAATTTCTGTGAGAAAACTCCTACAAATTGATAAAATACCTCAATCTTGCGCTAAAATCAAATAATAAATCATAATAGACTTTGTGCGTTGTTACCTTGTCCGTCGGTTTTCCTTCGCCGGTTCCGAGGCAGCGTCACGTCCAGTCGATACAAAGTTTCTGCCGTTTTTAGGATTTCCTCAAGTTTATATTGCTCTTCGCAGTCCTACAGAAAAGACAAAAATAAAACAGATAAAAAAACTGCAGATTATAGACTTTTGTTTTCTTCTTTAAAACACAAACCACCCAATCAACCTTCTGAACTTAATTCATTAAACACAAAGTTCAAGATAAAGTTTAAAGCTGGCATAATACCCAACTAAACTACAACACAATGTTCTGTAATAAAACACACACAACTAGTTCAAAACAGTTTATAACTGTTGTTCACACTCGGTGGTGCATGCACTGTACTTTTTGGCCTTTGTCACATCTTTTCCAGACAGAAAGATGAACAAGAGAAGATCAGAATCACTAAATCAGCTCTCAGCCCAAAGCGTCAAAAAGTGACTCACAGGGCTCTTTCTAACAAGTATATAAAATAGGAATGTTTTATAATAATACTTTCTAATAATCTATTGGGATTAAAAAAGTTATGTTTGTGGGGAAAAAATTAGGTACCCCAGGGAATTTTTATGTTTTTTATTTTTTTACAAACGATGCATAATGATCTAAAAACGTAAATTATGCACATTGATAGAAAAGCAGAACTTTTTTCATACAGAGACACATTGTTTGAATGAAAAGCACTTAATACATGGAATAGATTTACCTGTGTGAGTGTCTGGCTCCTCCTCTGTCCCACTGGGGTGCTGCTCCCTGTTCCCTTTATCTCTCTTTCCTTCTCTTTTTCTCGCTGGTGGAGAATGGTTTGACGCGTGGCTCTGAACTCCAAGGAGAAATCACTGATGGTTTTGCAGAAATCTTCCGGCCGCGTGTCCCGCACCATGGATCGAGAGTAGCCCAAAAACAGCAAGAATGAGTGGAACCTGGAGATTAATGTTTGAACATAAAAGACCAGGTACAGAATAAGCATTTGTGTGTATTTTTTTATATTTTACGTCCAAAATAACTGATTCATGTGAATAACCATAGAGGGCCAAGCACAGATCCCTGGGGAACCCCTAATTCCATAGGGAAAAATCAATATGAGAGGGAATTATGGCAAAAATCCATTGGAAGATCATTTTGCTTTGATCTTCAATTGTATTTACCTCAAAAAGTCACTGAGAGTCAATTGAGAATGTCTCCTGTCACACTCTCGTCATACTAAAGTAATTGTAATTCACATTTTATATTCAGAACAAAATGTTTTAACAAGAACTTGATCCCCTCCCACTTTACATGAACAATGTGCAACAATAATCCTAATAACAAAAAGATAATCTCAATTTCAGTTAATAAAATCCACAAGTCTGGTCCATCCATCCATTATGAAGTATGGTCCCTCACTATATCGGGGGTGATTTTTCACGTATTTTTTCTGTATGTATTTTCCAACAACATAATATACAACATTATAGAACTGCTATAACATGACACTCAGACATTTAAAGTCAGGAGAAAAATCATACAATAATGTTGAACCAGGCCCTAATAGCAGGAGGATCTGATTTCTTCTTGTTGAGTGTGATCAATCTCTTCTCCGGTAATACAGCAGAATCTATAGTTTACTTTAGTTTTCACACCTTAACAACCTGCGGATGTTGGAACTGACCGGTTGATGACTCTGCGGTGCACGGCCCTCAGCACCCTCAGCCTCTCATCGCTCTCCTTCAGAAGCCTCTGCAGCTTTGGTCTCATGGTCCCGTCACTGGTCCCTCTGGCCTTCACCCCCCTCCTCTCATCTGCCTTGTCCAGGACCCGCAGCTGCTCCCCTGAGGCTTTGCACAAGGCCTCGAGCTGACTCAGGTTGGACTGGACCAGCGAGTAGTCACACTTCAGGATGACAGGGCAAAATATAGTTCATCACGTTTCCTACTGCTATCCATGTGACGTATAAGCCATAGACTGTAAATAGATAGACAATGCTAACCAGCTACTTCAATGAAGCACAGAATTCACATTTTTGAGCTTAAAAATCTGATTTAACCCAGTTTAAAATCAAGGTGTTTCTATTTTAGTTACAGTCTTTGTAAAGCCAGAATGAGCCATAACACTTTTGATCGTAGCTTGCTCGCAGAAACAGACCAGCATCGTTCCTGATAGGCTCTTCGGTTGCTAGGCCGTTGCTACCTTTGTCATTTGTCTTCAGATTCCCGCTCATAGAGGCTATTTGAGTTAGTTTTAATCCGTTTATTTTTTTCATTAGGCAAACAAGATGGTAGACATCAGCACTCAGTTAGTCCACTCCTTCCACAGTTTTTTGGTATCAACAGCATGAGACAATAATCAGTTTCATTGCATGTTATGTATATGGGCTACACCAAAATAGAAACAATTTCTGCCGGAAGTTTGTCATATTTGTGTGAATCTAAAATATTACTCAGCTACTGTTTTTGATGAGGAAAGAATTGTTGCAAATGTTGTATATGCAAATAGACTGACCTTGCCGGCCCTGGTGACCGCAGTGATGTCAGAGTAGAGGTCTGAGGATTGTGGGTAAAGGTGGAGCAGGAGGGTGCAGACGTGAAGGAGCAGCGGCTGTCTGCAGTGAGTGTCCCTGACCCGAGACAGTTCACACAGGTAGGACAGCTCGAAGCCCCGCACCTGCAGAACAAACAGCTGTTTCATGAGAAATAGTTCTTAAAATAGCATCATATTAGACAGAGGTGGCAAGGACTTTTAAGTATTGTAGTTAGAAGTGTTTTCCTGGTGTCAGTACTTTGAGATCAATATTTCAACCTTAACTATTTAGATAAAACCCACATGATATGATGCTCAAACTACTCACTTTACTCAATCAGAGTTGAGATGTATGTATAAAACTCATTCATTCATTAAAATAGGTCAGTTTAACCTAGTTCAAGGTCACTTCCTGGGTGGACACGGTGCTGCAGAGAAACTGGTGTAGCTACATAATTGATAACACCACACTAAATGTAGAAAATTAATTCTGTCTTCTTATGTTTATGGCTTTTAGGTTCTTCTAATAAGACAATTAAAGCAAAACAAAGCTAGTACTGCTTAAATACCTGACATGTTTCGGCGGTACACTTCCGCCTTCATCATGTCAGGTATTTAAGCAGTACTAGCTTTGTTTTGCTTTAATTGTCTTATTAGAAGAACCTAAAAGCGATAACACCACACACTCAGAATAGATAAACAAAAGTTACCTCCGTCCTTTATCGCTCAAGAGTAATTTGTTGTGAAATGGCGCCATCATCAGGCAGAGGAGAGATACAGAACCTCAAAGAAATGACGTCTTGCTGTCTTTGTCATATTTTCTAATCTTCTGCCTTTAATGATCTACTCATCTAGAGTGGTTAAGTCTGTGCATCATAGAGCAGCGGTCTCTTTTCCACATGGAGTGATTGTTTTATCAGTTTTTAGTGGTGTTCATTTTAGCTCTTTACTATACATGTTTAGGAATATGTAGTTCATGTTTAATTTGTGAAACAATTTGCTTAAAAAGAAAATGTATGGATGCATTTAGATTTTTGGACCAGTATAATCCCTATTTGTGAGTTTGGAGTTCAAACTGATCCTGGTTATTTCCAAAATCCTTAATTTGATTGAAAATAAAAGGGACATATCTTTATTTTGATCATTATGTTGGTGTTTATATATTATCAACTATTATTATCATTATTATTATTGATAAAATTAGAGTAAAAATCTAATTGTTCTGGGCCCCAGCGCATACAGTCGTAGTAGTAGTAATAGTAGTAGTATTTTTATTTGAGCAGTTTTACAATGTATTTTATATATTTTTAAACATCCATCCATCCATCCATTTTCTTCCGCTTCATCCGTTGCCGGGTCGCGGGGGCAGCAGTCTGCAGAGACGCCCAGACTTCCCTATCCACACACACTTCCTCCAGCTCGTCCGGGGGGACTCCAAGGCGTTCCCAGGCCAGCTGAGAGACATAGTCCCTCCAGCGTGTCCTGGGTCTTCCCCGGGGCCTTTTCCGGTGGGACGGGCCCGGAACACCTCCCCAGGGAGGCGTCCAGGAGGCATCCGGAACAGATGCCCGCGCCACCTCAACTGGTTCCTCTCGACGTGGAGAAGCAGCGGCTCTACTCCGAGCTCCTCCGGTGTGACTGAGCTCCTCACCCTATCTCTAAGGGAGCGCCCAGCCACTCTGCGGAGGAAGCTCATTTCGACCGCTTGTATCCGCGATCTCGTTCTTTCGGTCATTACCCACAGCTCATGACCATAGGTGAGAGAGGGAACGAAGATTGACCGGTAAATCGAGAGCTTTGCCTTTTTTGGCTCAACTCCCTCTTTACCACAACGGTCCGATACAGCGACCACATCACTGCGCAGGCTGCACCGATCCGCCTATCAATCTCACGCTCTATCCTTCCCTCACTCGTGAACAAGACCCCGAGATATTTGAACTCCTCCACTTGAGGAAGGACCTCTCCACCCACCCGGAGAGGGCATGGCACCTTTTTCCGGTCGAGCACCATGGCCTCAGATTTGGAGGTGCTGATTCTCATCCCAGCGGCTTCACACTCGGCTGCAAACCATCCCAGTGCATGCTGCAGGTCCTGGTTCGTTGGAGCCAACAGGACAACATCGTCTGCAAACAGCAGAGATGAAATCCTGTGGTCCCCGAACCGGACCCCCTCCGGCCCCTGGCTGCGCCTAGAAATTCTGTCCATGAATACAGTGAACAGAACCGGTGACATAGGGCAGCCCTGGCGGAGGCCAACATGCACCGGGAACAGATCCGACTTACTGCCGGCAATGCGAACACAGCTCTGACTCCGGTCATACAGGGACCGGACGGCCCTCAACAGAGGACCCCGGACCCCATACTCCCGGAGGACCCCCCAAAGGACACCCCGGGGAACACGGTCGAACGCCTTCTCCAAATCCACAAAGCACATGTGGACAGGTTGGGCGAACTCCCATGAACCCTCGAGTATCCGATGGAGAGTATAGAGCTGGTCCAGTGTTCCACGGCCGGGACGAAAACCACACTGCTCCTCCTGAATCCGAGATTCGACCAACGGCCGTAGCCTCCTCTCCAGTACCTTGGAGTAGACCTTACCGGGGAGGCTGAGTAGTGTGATCCCACGATAATTGGAACATACCCTCCGGTCCCCCTTCTTGTAGAGAGGGACCACCACCCCAGTCTGCCACTCCATTGGCACCGCCCCCGATCGCCACGCGATGTTGCAGAGACGTGTCATCCAAGACAGTCCCACAACATCCAGAGACTTTAAATAGTCAGGGCGGATCTCATCCACTCCCGGCGCCTTGCCACAATGGAGGCTGCCAACCACCTTGGTGACCTCTGCCAGGGAGATGGAAGTATCCGCCCCAACATCCTCAAGCAAAAAGCCTTCCCCATGATCAATAATTCATTTAAGCGGCTGCAAAACGTTTTCTTTACACCTGAGCTCTTTAGTCTGCACTTCCAACCTGGGCCTTTATTATTTACTGGTGGATCAGTGCACAGTGCGTTGCCAGATATGCTCATATTCACTCACTTTGCGTCCGTTGAGGAAGTTTCCGATGGCTAAAACAGTGGCCAGGATCCATCTGAAGGTTTTGCTGTCCGAGAGCTGCTCCATCGCCAGTTTGAGATGGAACAGAGGCTCTGCTATCTCCTGTTCACACAAAAAAGATAGAAATGTTGGTCCAACTTGAACAGCTCTCAATCACTTTGTTTTTGCTTGAGTTTATGCTCCGTTTTGCTCAAATTAAACAAAATCAATATAAACATTAGTAAGATTGGACAAGTTAACAGCACGTTAAAGCTTTTTTTACTACATGTTGTAGAAAGATAAATTATTTGTGAAAAAATCAGACCGCTACATTCTGTTTTCATATTATTCATGTTTTTTTGACATACTTGAAAGAAAGAGTCCCGTGAGTCACTATTTGATGCAACTGGTTGAAAGCTGAGGGTGGTTCTTTTCTGTCTGGGAAGTAGAGCTAAACTGATCTAAAAATGATGCAGAAGCCAAAAACAAATAGATGTGAAAACTAGTGATAGAACCAAAACTAGAAAAAGTTACATAGACTTTATTACATCATGTACTTTTATTATTGTGAGTTTTATATAAAAATGTACTGTATGTATATTTCTTATGTATATTTATTGTTGTGTGCACTAATAATATAGAATAGTTTAGACCTCTTTGTCCCTTCATATATTGTCACACTCTTTTTGTTATTATTATTATTTAAACAAAAACCTTTTACTACACATATCATAAATTACATTGCAATGCTGGGGGAAACAACGTCAGATTGTGGTGCCGCCGTACTCACTCGCTCCATGGAGTCATAGTCGAGAGCAAAGGCCCAGAGCTGGAGCCTGGTGCTGAGGTGAGACATGGAGCCCAGAGAGAGGAGGCACAGTTCAGCTGGGGCCAGGGGGCTGTGAGGGGCCCGCGACTGCGCCTCTCTGATCGCACTCAGCTCCTCCTCTGTGGGCTGGATGCTCTGCAGACGCTGGACCAAACAACAATATACAGTATGTGCGTTATCGTTACAAGTGCATTGTGCAACTGCTGTGATGGAGTCCACTTCCTGCATGTGGTCATTTTGTTATTGCCTCAAATGTCCCAGTATATGTGTTAAAACTTGTATGTTCTTAACAATTTTAAAATATTCTTACAAAGAGAAGACTTGCCTCTTGCCAGACATAATTTTGTTTTTCATAATGCTTGATTTTGGAACTGCATTTTTGTCTGTTTATTGCAATAATAAAATATACCACAATCGGTGGGGAAGAACTTTTTCCTCCCCATATCTGTGAACCTCTGTCTTATGTGCATAGTTTCCAATGGTGTTGCATGTGAGACTAAGACAAATTTCCTTCGGACATGATAAATCAATCTTCAATCTTGAACAACTTTCCAATGCAAATGGAAAGTCTATACTGCCAAATTGTGAAACATCCAAGAAGAACGACAATATTCAGATGAGGGGTGAACCACTTTGGGATATTGTCATGTTGTGGAGGCATTTTTTTTCATAAATGAGAATTTGCCAGCCGTGCGGTGTTTTATGAAAAGAAAAGAGTGCATTGCTAACTTCATATGAGATCAATATTGAGCCGTATATTTTCTAAATATATGATAATTAGCCATGAATGTCAGAAGTTTGCATACAGCAGACAGCGGCATCATAATACTAATCAATTTAATTATTTTTATTTAAATCTGACAGACTTGTATATTTTGTTGTCTTATCTTTACCTGTGCAGCACTGTGTTTTATAAAATGTGTTATATACAGTGATGGGAATAACGGCGTTACTAGTAACGGCGTTACTAACGCCGTTACTTTTTTCAGTAACGAGTAATCTAACTAATTACTTTGACAGTAACTATAACGCCGTAATCATTTCCGACATCCCGTTACTGCGCGTTACTCAAGACGCACAATGAACGTGTTGTCATGAGAGAAGGGAGGATGAGAAAACCTCTCAGCAATTATTGGCTGATGTAAAACATATTTCCTTTACAATCCACATGTCTACAGTTGAGAGGATGGTCATAAATTGTGTTTTTGAAACAAATATGGGTCTTAATCGCGCTCAACCACGGCTTGTATCACCGTGAGGTCAGCCACAGAGGAGCTCATGTGAGCGCAGAAGTCGGCTGCATACAATTCCATCGATAAGCTCCTTTCTCTTCCTGGTTTATCTGCTAAGGACAGCAACAGGTTTGGCTAACATACATATAACACATTTTTACATAATCTAAAATGCACATAGGGTAATTTTTCAATTACTATAGGAATGATAAGAAAGAGAGGTGAAGTGTAAGACGGTTGATTTTAGAAATTGGATGCAGCCGGCTGCAGCAAAACAGAGGAGTTTATGGAGGACACACGCGTTTTGTTTTACTTTTTTAAAACTCATTGGACTCATTTCCAAATGGAGGATTACATATCTACGCTCAAACCATTCACTGGATTTAAACAAGGAACTGGTCTGAACCGAAGTGGACTGTGCAGGTCATTTATAAGGTATAGCTATAAGGTAAGAACCATAACTCATAGTTTTGCGTTTTGTATGAACAAACAATGCGGGCATAAAACATATTTTGCTGTAGCCAAACAAATTGTCCACTTGATTTATATGATGTATATGTTCATCTGATTGGACTGAAGTCAGTGCTTCACCAGCCTCACCGCTCGTCACCGGTGTTTCCACATTCACAGTGGCGGGTGTTTGTGTTTACAGCACAGACAGAGATGAAGAGTGAACAGGACTTCAGCAGCAAAACAGCCTTTTCTAGATGGAAATATTGGCACTGTTAAAGGTAAAAATGCGCACGTCGGGTGCACATTATGTTCCAGAACAAAACGAAAAAGTAACGCAATAGTTACTTTTACTGGTAAATAGTTACTTTTATAGTGGAGTAACTCCGTTAGTAACTCAGTTTACTTTTTGGGAGAAGTAACTAGTAACTATAACTAATTACTTTTTCAAAGTACGTGCCCAACACTGTGCAAAACTGTATAAAGGGCGGGGGGACAGGTTAAGAAGTGTTCAAGAGTCCAACAGCAGAGGGGAAGAAACTGTTCTTGTGGCGGGAGGTTCTAGTCCTGATGGACCGCAGCCTCCTGCCTGAGGGGAGTGGTTGGAATAGTCCATGTGCAGGGTGAGAGGGGTCGGCTGTGATACGGACCAGCCCGGCCTCGAGCTCGGGCGACGTACAGGTCCTGCAGCGATGGAAGGCTGCGGCCGATCACTTCCTCTGCAGAGCGCACAATGCGCTGTAGTCTCTGTTTGTCCCTGACTGTGGCTCCAGCGAACCACACGGTGACGGAGGAGGTGAGGATGGACATGATGATGGCCGTGTAGAACTGCACCAACATCTGTGCAGGCAGCTTGGCTTTCCTGAGCTGCCGCAGGAAGTACATCCTCTGCTGGGCCTTCTTGATGAGGGAGCTGATGGTCGGCTCCCACTTGAGGTCCTGGGTGATGGTGGTGCCCAGGAAACGGAAGGACTCCACAGAGGTGATGGGGGAGTCCATCACGGAGGGTGGGGGTGGGGGGACAGTGCTCTTCCTGAAGTCCACAATCATCTCCACTGTCTTCTGGGCGTTCAGCTCCAGGTTGTTACCACTGCACCAGGACACCAGCCGGTCCACCTCCCTCCTGTAGGCGGACTCATCGTTGTTGGAGATGAGTCCAATGAGGGTGGTGTCGTCCGCGAACTTGATCAGCTTCACGGAGTCGTGGCTGGAGGTGCAGTGGTTGGTGTACAGGGAGAAGAGCAGGGGAGAAAGAACACAGCCCTGTGGGGCTCCTGTATTTATAATCCGAGAGTCCGAGACATTCTTCCCCAGACGCACTCGCTGCTTCCTGTCCGTCAGGAAGTCAGTGATCCACCTGCAGGTGGAATCGGGCACGTTGAGCTGGGAGAGCTTGTCCTGGAGCAGGGATGGCAGGATTGTGTTGAAGGCAGAGCTGAAGTCCACGAACAGGACCCTGGCGTAGGTCCCCGGGGAGTCCAGGTGCTGTAGGATGTGGTGGAGGGCCAGGTAATGGCGTCGTCTACAGATCTGTTGGCTCTGTAGGCGAACTGCAGGGGGTCCAGGAGGGGGGAGGTGAGGGACTTGAGATGGGAGAGAACCAGGCGTTCAAATGACTTCATGACGACAGACGTAAGTGCTACAGGTCTGTAGTCATTGAGTCCTGTGATCCTGGGCTTCTTCGGGACGGGGACATTGATGGAGGATTTGAAGCAGGCCGGGACATGGCAGGACTGCAGAGAGGTGTTGAAAATGTCCGTGAACACAGGAGTAAGCTCACTGGCGCAGTGTCTCAGAGTGGCCGGAGACACGAGGTCCGGGCCAGGAGCTTTGCGGGGGTGCAGCCTCAGGAAGAGTTGTTTAATCTCTTTAGCGGCTATTGTTAGGCTGGGGGCAGGGCTAATGGGTGGGTCGTTAGAGTAGTGGGGGGTGGGGGAGGGAGAGGTGTCAGGGGCAGCATCAAAGCGACTGAAAAATAAGTTCAGATCGTCAGCTAGCTTGTGGTCGTCAGCACAGGGGGGGGCTTTGGGTTTGTAGTTGGTGATCTCCCGTTGGCCCCTCCAGACAGAAGCAGTATCGTTGTTACCAATCTGCTCCTGTAGTCGTTCTCTGTGCCGGGACTTGGCTGCTTTCAGTTCTCTCCTGAACTGATATTTAGCTGCTTTGTAGCCGCTGCGGTCCCCCTCCCTGAAAGCAGACTCCTTTGCTTTCCTGAGCTGCCGGAGTTTAGCAGTGAACCAGGGTTTGTCGTTGTTATAGATGACCCTGGTCCTTGTTGGAATGATGCTATCCTCACAGAAGTGAATGTATGACGTCACAGTGTCCGTATATTCATCCAAACTATCTGTGGCAGCTCTGAAAAGGTCCCAGTCTGTAGATTCCATGCATGCGCGCAGCTCTTCCACAGCTTCATCAGACCACACTTTGGAGCTCCTCATTGCAGGTTTCGAGAGCTTTAGTCTCTGTCTGTAAGCAGGAACCAGATGTATCATGGAGTGATCTGAGAAGCCGAGGGCTGGCTTGGGAACAGCGCGAAAAGCTCCGCGCACGGTGGTGTAACAGTGATCCAGAGTGTTCTCCTCTCTGGTCGGGCATTTGATAAACTGTCTGTATTTGGGTAATTCCTGGCTCAAGTTTCCCTTATTAAAATCCCCCAGGATCAGAGAGTCCGGGTATAAGCGTTCCATACACAGTACTTGCTCTGCGAGTGTGCGCTGAGCCTCACGCGCGTCCGCGCATGGCGGTATGTAAACAGAGGCAAGAATGAATGAAACAATTTCGCGCGGGGAGTAATATGGTTTACAATGGATGAAAAGATATTCCAGAGCAGGAGAGCAGTGCTTGGAGATCACTGTCACATCGTTACACCAGTTTGTATTGACGTAGAAACACAGCCCTCCGCCTCTGCTCTTCCCTGAGAGCGCACAATGGCGATCCGCGCGGAACAGCCCAAAGCCCTGCAGCTCCAGAACGCAGTCCGGGATCCGCTCATTTAGCCAGGTCTCAGTGAAGCAGAGGACACAGGATGTGGCGAAGTCCTTGTTTCTTCTCATGAGCAGGCTGAGTTCGTCCATCTTATTGCCCAGTGAGCGTACGTTGGAGAGAAAAATGCCGGGGAGAGCCGTGCGCGCTCCTCTCCTCCTAAGACGCACGAGCAGGCCTCTGCGCTTTCCCCTTTTACGGGCCCACACTTTTTTGGCTAGAACATGAACTAAATCAGCCGCAGATGCCAAGAAAACAGGCAATAGGTCCATGGGAACGGTGGGTCGGATGTTCATAAGTTCCTCACGGGTGTAGGAACAGCCAGATGCGCAGTTAAAAAGTAAAAACAAAAGAAAAAGAGAGCAGCAAAGAGCCATGTCGACCGTACGAGGCGCCATCTTTGTATAAATATCTGTTTTTCATTGCATTGGATTTCATATAGGTCTGTATCTTTGGGGGGAAAGGTATATGCAAACATTAGTTAGCAGCATGTTAGTTTGTCTGTTGATATCAGAAAATAGTTTCGATAACCATATATTTATCTGGACCTTTTTCGCTTTGACAGAGGTGCCATCAAAAGTAGTCATCAAAACGTTACGACTCCCATTCAAGCGGGCGTTGGTCTGAGCCTAGTCCTGCCCTGTATATTGTCTAATAAAGGTGATGTCTGCAACTTCAATGATACTTTTGGCCCTCATCAATGTTAAGTATTTTTCATAATAACTATATTTAAATCAGTCACTCACCTTTGAATATGCTTCACCAGTAAGATTTGCTGGAGGAGAATAGTTACACCAATGGTGACGAGCCTCAGCTGTCTATCAAGGTTTTGCATCCAATCAGGAACCTTTGGGGGCGGGTTTAACTGGTGCTTGCATTCAAAAAACATCTCTCCATCTTCACAATTTGAAAAGTCACTAACCCTCACTTTAATAATAGCAGTGATATTTCAAGAAGCAAACATTTGTATTCTTGCATTATCAATAACCGAGGTCATTCATGGATTTATCAACAGTTATTGACATTGGTCATCTGCCTCTTATGGATCAATGTTAGTATGTGTTTTTTATCATTGCATTTGATTCTCTGATCTGTGTAGGCAAATTCAACAGTTTTGTAAAGTCCTCCTAGATAAGTACTGTTGTGATTTAGGGCTATATAAGAAAAAATCTAACTAAAATGGCATTTTTAGGTTGAAGTTATCCATCACCTTTTTCCGACTGACCACAATTGCAAACTGGGAAGTCAAAAATCTACATGTGTCCAAAAAAACAACATATTTTGAAACTGCAGACTTGTAATACTGTCAAAAGAAGTTTATGAGTGCGAGTGAGGGATTAGGAAACACCCCTAGGACCATCCCGGAGCAGAGAGCGAGATCACAGAGGAGCTGACAGACGCCACCGATTTAACTCTTAGAAACTTACAAGAATTTTTCAAACTTTATCCTTAAAGTTTGTACAGTTAATGCAGAAGAAAAAAAAACGGTGACTGTAGCAGGATTTGTATTTACTCTAAAGATTCAAGGGATTTGAGAGGAAAGAGTGCATCCATCCATTTTGAAACTTTGAGATCCCGGGTGAATTTGAGGCCGTGCTCACAGCGGACAAAGCGACAGTTATTCAGCGCTGACACTGACTACCGTTCACTCCTGGGGAATTTATTCAATTTGGGCGTAACGTTGCACATTTCTGCGACTGGAGAAAGAAGTCCAGACAGACAAGGGATAAGCCCAACTTGTCTCAATGGATTTTCTGCCTATAGACTATTCACACTGCTCCAGATATTTGCTTTGAAAGAGGTGTCGAGTTTCTGACTTAAATCTTTTCCAACTCTGAACATATTTGATATATTCTGATAGTAATGCATGTGTGTGTACTTTGTAGTTTTCCTAAACCTGGAGAACCTAGCCTTTTTCTTACAATATTACAAATAAACTTGTCTTGGCTAATTAAGATAAGATAATATAAAACGTTTTGATCTTACAATGGAGAAAAATACATCTGGCATAAAAAAGGATCATTCAGGCTGTACAAAAAGACTGAATATCTACAATAATAAAACATAAAAAATACAATAAACAGGAAAGATGCAACATGTTAAATGGTGGTCACATTGTTATTACTTTTCTCTCTGAATTATCTAATGGGAAAATGTGACTGAGGCCAAAAATGCAGGCATGTGGAAAACTAGTGATAGAACAGAATTGTTTTGTGTTTTTGTCTTTTTTTTAGCAAAGAGCTGAATCTCTTCTGATGGTTTCATTGTTTGTTTGTTGAAAGTTTGTTACCCCAGATTTAAGTCAAAGTTAGTGCTGAAAAAGGGCACTTGTTTCAGCCTATTGGTTCTATCGTTTTTGTATATTGGGATATGTTATTGAAGAATACAGACAAAGATAAAAGTGCATTTTGTGAATTACTCTGGATAAGAAAAATATTTGTGAATAGTGAGATAATAAATATTCCTTTTTGGTCACTTTGATGTAAAAGTGCTGCCCTCTTTTGCCATGTACATTAGAGTCTGTGTTTTTTCCAAAACTCTATTCATGATTATCATATTAGCCCATGATAATTCACGGCAATTAGCCACAATTATTCACACCAAGTGTTGTAGTCCTCTCCATGGTGTACTCTGTGGTCATTATTTCACCCCATTGCTTTTGGACTTAGATTATTTGGTTCATTGATAATTGTGAATACTATAATTTATCATTCAGAAAGTTTGATTTCATGGAACCGCTGCACAAAGAAAACAGATGTGATACATGAGACAATGTGGATGAAAGCATACAATAGAAGAATTTCACAGAAGTTTTCAAAAAGTGTCCATAAACATGAAGACTTGTAACGTAAATAAATGTTGTTTCTTTGGTCACATCAGTCAAAAAAACAGCATTTAAGGCGACCGCACCGTCGTATTTGGTGGGGCATGGACGGATGGTCTCTAGAGATGTGCATACGTTTTTGTTACAAACTTACCATGGACCGTAAATAAAGTAGATGGACAGTGCTAACCCCCAGCTCAATGAGAAAGGATGGGTGCTCATGGGTGAAGTTTTGCTTCTTCTC